CACCGAGGACACTGCGAGACTCCAAGCGGATCACCATGGTAGTGACCTCCACCGAGGACACTGCGAGACTCCAAGTGGATCACCATGGTAGTGACCTCCACCGAGGACACTGCGAGACTCCAAGCGGATCACCATGGTAATGACCTCCACCGAGGACACTGCGAGACTCCAAGTGGATCACCATGGTAGTGACCTCCACCGAGGACACTGCGAGACTCCAAGTGGATCACCATGGTAGTGACCTCCACCGAGGACACTGCGAGACTCCAAGTGGATCACCATGGTAGTGACCTCCACCGAGGACACTGCGAGACTCCAAGTGGATCACCATGGTAGTGACCTCCACCGAGGACACTGCGAGACTCCAAGTGGATCACCATGGTAGTGACCTCCACCGAGGACACTGCGAGACTTCAAGTAGATCACCACGGTAGTGACCTCCACCGAGGACACTGCGAGACTCCAAGCGGATCACCATGGTAGTGACCTCCACCGAGGACACTGCGAGACTCCAAGTGGATCACCATGGTAGTGACCTCCACCGAGGACACTGCGAGACTCCAAGTGGATCACCATGGTAGTGACCTCCACCGAGGACACTGCGAGACTCCAAGTGGATCACCATGGTAGTGACCTCCACCGAGGACACTGCGAGACTCCAAGTGGATCACTATGGTAGTGACCTCCACCGAGGACACTGCGAGACTCCAAGTGGATCACCATGGTAGTGACCTCCACCGAGGACACTGCGAGACTCCAAGCGGATCACCATGGTAGTGACCTCCACCGAGGACACTGCGAGACTCCAAGTGGATCACCATGGTAGTGACCTCCACCGAGGACACTGCGAGACTCCAAGCGGATCACCATGGTAGTGACCTCCACCGAGGACACTGCGAGACTCCAAGCGGATCACCATGGTAGTGACCTCCACCGAGGACACTGCGAGACTCCAAGTGGATCACCATGGTAGTGACCTCCACCGAGGACACTGCGAGACTCCAAGTGGATCACCATGGTAGTGACCTCCACCGAGGACACTGCGAGACTCCAAGTGGATCACCATGGTAGTGACCTCCACCGAGGACACTGCGAGACTCCAAGTGGATCACCATGGTAGTGACCTCCACCGAGGACACTGCGAGTCTCCAAGTGGATCACCATGGTAGTGACCTCCACCGAGGACACTGCGAGACTCCAAGTGGATCACCATGGTAGTGACCTCCACCGAGGACACTGCGAGACACCAAGTGGATCACCATGGTAGTGACCTCCACCGAGGACACTGCGAGACTCCAAGTGGATCACCATGGTAGTGACCTCCACCGAGGACACTGCGAGACTCCAAGCGGATCACCATGGTAGTGACCTCCACCGAGGACACTGCGAGACTCCAAGCGGATCACCATGGTAGTGACCTCCACCGAGGACACTGCGAGACTCCAAGTGGACATCAACTAAATCTTCGAATGGGTCACTCAAAACAATATGAAGTTCAACGAGGGGAAATTTAAACTACTCAGATATGGAAAACTTGAATTAAAAATGTGTCAGCGTGTACCACAAATTCTAACCATACAATAGAGCGGAAAAGTAATGTGAAGGACCTGGGAGTGATAATGTCAGAGAATCTCGCCTTCAAAGACCACAACAAGGTATCTACCTCATCCACTAGGAAAATGATAGGATGGATAATGAGAACCTTCAGAACTAGGGACGCCAAGCCCATGATGATTCTCTTAAAATAGTTTGTTCTCTCTAGGCTGGAATACTGCTGTACATTAACGGCCCCCTTCATTGCAGACCTGGAGAGTGTACAAAGAACTTTCATGGCACACATAAGTGCGATGAGGCACCTAAACTACTGGGAACGGTTGAAGGTCCTTGATCTGTATTCCCTCGAACGCAGGCGAGAGAGATACATGATATACACTTGGAAGGTCCTGGAGGAATTGGTACCAAACCTACACACGAAAATCACTCCATATGAAAGCAAAAGACTCGGCAGGAGATGCAACATTCCCCCGATGAAAAGCAGGGGTGCCACGAGTATACTGAGAGGCAACAAAAGAAGTGTCCGGGGCCCAAGACTGTTCAATTGCCTCCCAGCATACATAAAGGGAACTACCAATAGACCCCTTACTGTCTTTAAAAAGGCACTAGACAGGCACCTAAAGTCAGTACCTGACCAACCGGGCTGTGGTTCGTACGTCAGCTTGCGTGCGACCAGCAGTAACAGCCTGGTTGATCAGACCCTGATCCACCATGAAGCCTGGCCTCGGACCGAACCGCGAGGGCATTGACCCCCCGAAACCCTCTCCAGGTAAACTCCAGGTAAACACCCAACACAACTCGCGGGAAGAGTCGGTAAACCTTGGTACGGAAACTGCTAAGACTTGTCTGAGTGGAAATCGTAAAGAGAAATTAGTGAAATTGATTAAAACAACTCAAATTAAACAACTCAAGCGTTAACTCTCCCGTTCCCACACTAGAAGTCAATTCCGTTGTACCTCCATAACCCCAGACTTGACTGATTTAAGAGTATTAGTGATACCTCTCGTATCCGAACTATATGGGCCGAGACCGGTTCGGATACATGGAGTTTCCGGATACATGTGGGGGAAAAAATTGCTCATCCGTACCGTCATATCGCCATCGGCGACGGCGTTGTAGGTTTAAAAAACTAGTGCAATATCGTCTGGCGGTGGAACCAGACACACTGGGCTGGAATAACAGCCTCCCTGATTTCACGGACCACAGGACCATAACTTTTCAAATGGGGTGTGGACAGCGGCTGCTCCAAATACTCCAAAAGTGTTTCGACACGTGCCCTTGATGCTGAAGTTTGAGGTCTTGGAGGCATTGGGTCATCGTCGTCACTTTCGGAATGTTCCGGGTGCAACACTGATTCTTCAATCTCTGCATCCGTCAGAAACTGCACACCAGTCTTCATCGTCACTAGCCAGTCCTGCACGTCTGCTTCTGGAGTGTTTCCTCCTGCCATGGACCAACCTGCATCGTCACACTAGCCAGTCCTGCACGTCAGCTTCTGGAGTGTTTCCTCCTGCCATGGACCAACCTGCATCCACGTCCAACAACATTTCCCTCTTTTTTTTTCTAGAGTAAGCACATTCCTGTCCCTCTTTGGTGCCATACACAAGATAGCTGTGGAAAAACACAGCTGTAATAATGGTTAAAGGAAGGCGAAGAGCGCGGCTCCTAGTGGCCGACCGGTACACTTAAGTGTGCGCTAAGTTTGGTTCAGCTTTCTGCCGTATCCGAACGGTTGTTCGCATGTTTCGGTAATAATTTTAGAATTTCGTCCTTTTCCAGGGGCTGTTCGGATATCAGCGAGGTTAGGATAATGGCAGGCCGGATATGCGAGGTATATCTGTACTCTATTTCGCAACCAATACTTTCCTATATCCTTACTAAATCTAAACTTATCCAGTTTAAATCCATTATTAACGAGTTTTTTCTTGGAGGGATAACGTTAGGATCTTATTTATTTCTCTGTTTATGCCCATCTTCTACTTAAACATTTCAATCATGTCTTCTCTCCTTCATCTTACAAGAAAATGTAATTTAAGGGATTTCAATTTTTCTTCGAAAAGAATATTTCTTATGCAATGGATTAATTTTTTTTATTCTTCGCTAGATGTTTTCTAATTAATTTATTTCCAGTCTGTATTATAGAGACAAGAACTAAGCTGCATAATTTAAGAGACCTTACTTATGTGTAGAGCTGTAGTACAACCTCTGGACTTCTGTTGCTCATAATTCTTGCTATGAATCCCTTATTACGAATGCTTAGGCATTGAGGTTTTGTTTGAGGTTTTGGTTGGAGGTTTCTGCTTACCATAACCTCCAAATTCTTTTAGCATTCTGTGTGGATAAGTTCTGCATTATTTAGTTTATAAGTGCTAATGTTATGGACATTGCTGAGCTTCAGAACTTTGTAATTATCTTCAATGAACTGCATCTGTCACTTTTCTAACCACGATATAAATTTGTCTAAGTCCACCTGGAGTTCAGTGACATCTTCATCTGAATCAACTGTCCTGCCTATTTTCGTGTCATCAACGATTTTTTTCATATTCCCTCATCAAGGTCATTAAGGTATATTATGAACAACAACGGCCCTAATACTGATCCCTGTGGAACGCCATTTGTTGCAGATCCCCGCCCAGATTTTACTCCATTTATGCAAACCCTCTGCTCCCTGTTGGTGAGCCATGACTCTATCCATGACAGCACTTCTCCCTCAGTACCATGAGTTGACACTTTCTTCAACAGCCTTATGTGTGCTACTCTATCAAAAGCTTTACTAAAATCTAAATAAATAATATCGAATTCATTATCATGATAAATAGCCTCAAATGCTTTATTGAAGAAAGTTAGTAAGTTAGTTATGCAGGAATGGCCCCCTTGTGAATCCATGCTGAGTATCATACGTCAAATTATACTTATCAAGATGGCTTCTTATAATATCAGCTATAACTGACTCTAGTAATTAGCCAACAATTAAGGTCAGGCTTATTGTGCAGTAAGCTGACGGAAATGTACTACCCACTGCTTTAGAAATAAGAATTACATTAGTCATCTTCCATATACCTACACCTGTTCGAAGAGAGAGATTTAAAATGCTAGTTAATGGTTCACAAAGTTCCATTTTGCACTCCTTACGAACCCTTGAAAAAAGTCCATCTGGGCCCGAGGATTCATTTTGCTTTAATCGGTCTGTAGTGATTTGTTGACAGAGAGAGACAGAGACACAGGTACGGAGAGAATAGATGAGGTAGCTGTGGATGGGAACACTAACAAGGCTTGTGTTACAGAGCCCATGACGACCATATACGGGAGTGGCAACACTAACAAGGCTTGTGTTACAGAGCCCATGACGACCATATACGGGAGTGGCAACACTAACAAGGCTTGTGTTACAGAGCCCATGACGACCATATACGGGAGTGGCAACACTAACAAGGCTTGTGTTACAGAGCCCATGACGACCATATACGGGAGTGGGAACGTCTTCATCAACAATGGCAGCAACATCAACCTGACCTGCGTCGTAGACTTCACGCCCAAGCCGCCTTCCTACGTCATCTGGAAGCACAATAATAAGGTTAGAGTTGCCGGACATGTGAAGTGATGTACAGCAAGGTATAGATAAGGAATTTTAACTTTTGTCCCCTCAAGGGAGGTTCCTTGATGCTGGTGAGGGGCTCTTGATCTAAGGAGTTGGATCTGTTCTCCAGTCCCTGAATTGAGCCTGAATACCTTCACCCCCTCCCCATGCGCTGTATAATCCTATGGGTTTAGCGCTCCCCATAATTATAATAATTCTACAATAATTTAGCTTTTGAGGTTATTAACCTTTCCTGTCAGTGACCGCAGCTTCTGAGAGAAGCTGAGGTCACTACAGACCCGCACTGCACTGCTCTGAGAGAAGCTGCGGTCACTACAGACCCGCACTGCACTGCTCTGAGAGAAGCTGCGGTCACTACAGACCCGCACTGCACTGCTCTGAGAGAACTTCTACTTCATCGCTGAGAAGTGTGAAAGTACTTGAGGTAAATATTTCCACCCACTGTGGCTTGTCTTGCTTATTTAAGATCGCCCGTATGTCACTGTTTGATTAATACCAATCGTTCGTAGTTACAATAATTATATATATATATATATATATATATATATATATATATTATATATATATATATATTATATATATATATATATATATATATATATATATATTATATAATTATTGTGACCACGAACGATTGGTATTAATCAATAACACACTCCCTTAGTGCTTTACAGGCTATACAGAAATTTGATACACCTCACCCCTTAATCCTCCGTATCCAACTTTGGCTACGTCGCATCTTTACCAAGCATAAAGACATTGTTTTGTGTTGGGTCCCTGGTCATGTTGACGTACAGGGCAATGAACAGGCAGACACTGCTGCGCGGTCAGCAGTACATGACCTACCAGTTTCATGTAGAGGTATTCCATTTACGGACTATTTTGCTGCAATAGCTACCCACCTTCACACCCGTTGACAACAACGTTGGTCTGCTATGCTCGGTAATAAACTTCAATCTATTAAACCGAGTATAGGTTACTGGCCGTCTTCTTATCACCAGTGTCGAGGTTGCGAGACTACTCTCTCCCGTCTTCGCATTTGCCATACTTGTCTTACTCATGGATATCTCATGGAGAGGCGCCCTGCTCCTCTCTGTGAGAATTGTCAGGTTCCATTATCAGTCAGCCACATTCTGTTGGACTGCCCACTTTATCAACGAGCAGGCAGAATTTACCTCCAACGTCGTCTTCGCTCCGCTGCTCTCTTTTTACCTACCCTTCTCGCTGATGGACCCACCTTTCATCCGGACTCTCTCATTGACTTTTTGACAACAACTTACTTACTTCACAAACTCTGATGATACCTTCAGCCCTTTCTACCTCAATCTCTTGCTGCCCTTTACCCCCCCGCACTATCCCCTGCCCCTCTGTTCTCTGTAACCTACTGATCATCCCTCCCCCCTTCTGCCGCCCAATACCCTCGCTTCCTTCCCTACCCTGCAGCGCTGTATAGCCCTTGTGGCTTAGTGCTTCTTTTTTATTATAATAATGATAATAATCAATAACACAGAGACTAGGCAAGGATTCGAACTCATGTCGTTTTGGCCCACCTTATGATGACTGAAAATCACACGATTCTTTAACCCACGGGACCACGCAATCCTACAAGGTTGAAGCACTCAACAGAGTTAGGTGTTTTACCTTGATCCAAGGACATTCTACTCCCTGTTTGGTGTACTAACCTCACGAGCAGTATATATAAATTATTGTAACCACGAACGAGTGGTATTAATCAATAACGATACTGCGACTAGCCGAGGATTCGAACCCATGTCGTTTTGGCTCGCCTCATGGTGAGTGAAAATCACATGACGCTCTAACCCACGGGACCACGCAATCCTACAAGAATCAAGCACTCAGCAGAGCTAGGTGTTTTACTTTGATCCGAGGACATATGGTGGTGTGGGTGGTGTGGGTAAAACTTGCAACAATGTGTTAAATAACAACACTCTTCTTGCAGAATAAGGTAAGCACAAATTTGTGTGTCCAATAATTTCGCAAAAATCATTCTGAACCTAACGAAAAAAAAATATATTTCATTGTGTTTGTTTATTATTAATTATTTTAAACTTATCTAAAACACATTTGGCTGGATTAGGATAAATTAAATTGCTCTTAATATAATAAGGTTAGGTAAGTTTTCTAAGGCTCTTTTGGTACAAAATAAATTTTTACATCAACGTAAATGTAAAAGTAAATAAATCTTTAAACGTATAAGAGAAATATTTAGAAATGTCTTAATTTTAAATTAATTCTTGCTATTTGACCAGCTTTACCTATTCGGCACGACATTCATATATATATATATATATATATATATATATATATATATATATATATATATATATATATATATATATATATATATATATATATATATATATATAATATTATATATATATATATATATATATATATATATATATATATATATGTATGTATCGTTAATACATCCACAAACGGGTGGGTTTGAGGAAATATCAACACTGTGACTAACTGGGAATAAAACCCTAGATATGTTACCATGCCTCCCGAGCCACAACAATTCCAATATGCCTTACACTACTGATCCATAAAAGCTACAAAGATCAGGCGCCCAGCATCACTGGACATGTCTCCTGGTGCGAGCACATACATGGTCATGGAAGCTACAGGATAGATTTCATTCTCCTCTTTGAAAAACCAATCTTTGCGAGCAGTACACGTACTATTGCGGCCATGTACGAGTGATTTTAAGCAATTAACAATACTGCAAGTGTCGCTCGCATCCGAGCAGCTAAAATTCAGAGACGTATGTGTGTACTCACCTAATTATGTGTGTACTCACCTAATTATGATTGCCCCGCCTCTTCACTGGTCACTACTAGATCCACTCTTTCCCTCTTAAAGCTATGTATGGTACCTGCCTCCACTACCTCACTTTCCAGACAATTCCACTTCCTGACAACTCTGTGATTGAGGAAATACTTCCTAACATCTCTGTGGCTCTTCTGAGAATTCAACTTCCAATTGTGACCCCTTGTTGCTGTGTCCCATCTCTGTAACACCCTGTTTCTGTCCATCTTGTCGATTCCTCTCAGTATTTTATATGTCGTTATCGTGTCCTCCCTATCCTCAAGTATCGTCAAGTCGAGCTCCCTTTAACCTCTCCTCGTAGGACATACAGCTTAGCTCCGAGACTAGTCTCGTTGCAAATCATTGCACTTTTTCTAGTTTACTGACGTGCTTGGCCAGGTGTGAGTTCCAAATTGGAGCTACATACTCCAATATGGGCCTAACGTTCACGGTGTACACGGTCCAGAACGACTCCTTACTGAGATACCGGAATGCTGTTCTTAAGTTAGCCAGTCGCCCATATGGTGCAGCAGTTATTTGACTGGTGTGCACCTCAGGAGATGTCGTCAGTATTATTCACACTCCAAGATACTTTTACTTGAGCGAGGTCTTTAGTCCCCTAGACTGTACTGTCTGTGGTCTTCTTTGCCCTTCCCCGATCTTCATGACTTTGAACTTGGTGTGGGGTTGAACTCCAGGAGCCAATTACTGGACCAGGCCTACATCCTGTCCAGATCCCTCTGTATTCCTGCCTTGTCCTCCTCTGACTGAATTTTCCTCATTAACTTCACATCGTCAACAAACAGGGACACTTCTGAGTCTATTCCTTTCGTCATGTCATTCACATATACCAGAAACAGTACTGGTCCTAGGACTGACCCCTGTGCAACTCCGCTCGTCAAAGGCACCCACTCTGACACCTCATAACGTACCAAGACTCGCTGATGCCTTCCTGTCAGGTATTCCCTGATCCATTGCAGTGCCTTCCCTGTTATACCTGCCTGGTCTTCCAGCTTTTGCACTAATCTCTTGTGTAACTGTGTCAAAAGCCTCTTTTCAGTCCAAGAAAATGCAATCTACCCACCCTACTCTCTCTCTCTCTCTCTCTTGTCTTACTGCTGTCACTTTGTCATAGAACTCTAGTAGGATCGTGACACAGGATTCCTCATCTCTGAATCCATGCTCGCTATCGTTGATAAGCTCATTCCTTTCTAGGTAGTCCACCACTCTTCTCCTGATAATATTCTCCACACACTGCATGTCAGTGACACTGGTCTGTAATTTAATGCTGTCTCTGTATCCTTTTTTAAAACATGAGGCTACATTTGCTGTCTTCCATTCTTAAGGTAGTCACTCAGTTTCGAAAGATATGCTGAAGATTGTTAGTGGTAGACAGAGCATCTTTGTTCCCTCTGTCAGGGCTCACAGAGAGATATTCCACTCCATCGCCTTTGAGATATTTAGTTCGCTTAGGAGCCTCTTCACCTCCTCCTCGGTCGTATGTATCATGTCCAGCACTTGTTGGTGTACCTCACCTCTAGGTCTTTCTGGAGTCATTTCTGTTTCCACTGTGATTTTTTTTTGAATCGCGTGTTGAGCTCCTCACATACTTCAACGTAGTTTCTTGTAAATTCCCCTCCTTCCTTCCTTAGCCTAATTACCTGACTTGTTTTCTTCCTGATTTGACTCTGCAACAGCTTCAGACCAGACTTGGCTTTCGATGCTATGTCATTTTTGTATTTTCGCTGAGCCTGTCTGCTTGCCTGTGCATATTAATTTCTTGCTCTTCTACTATTCTCCTTTTTCTCCTGGGTCCTTCGCATTCTATACGTCTTCCATTCTCTAACAAACTTGGTTTAAGCATCTCTACACCTTTGTGTGAACCAAGGGCTCATCCTGGCCTTCTCATTATGTCTGTCGCCCTTGGGTATAAACATCTCCACTTCCTTGCATATTGTTGTCACATTTTCCATTATCTCATTTACTGTTTTCCCTGCCTGTTCTCTGTCCCTCTGGGCCTTGCACCTTCCTGCCTCCCTCTCCACTTCTAACTCTACTATGTATTCGAAGCTTAGAACCACGTGATCGCTAGATCCAAGAGGCCTTTCATATGTATTGTCCTCAATATGTGCATTGCTCAA